GAGCCGTGACAGTGAAAGAGGTGGCGGATGGAAGACCACGACTTGAAAGAGAGAAAGGGAGACACATTGTTTTATCCACGTTAAGGGTGAGAAGATTCTGAGAAAGCTATGCAGAAACTGAATTAAAGCCCAATTGCGCATAGTAAAACACGGACTCCCCGGATTCGCCAAAGAATATCAAGGCAGTGTCGTCGGCATATGTAAAAATAGAACCGTTTCTTAATTGCATGTTACATAGGTCGTTAATATACGCTAAAAATAAGGTAGGGCCGAGAATACTGCCTTGGGGCACACCATACGTGATCGGAAGTTCCTTACTGTTTAAATCTCCAATCCTAACATACTGTCGTCTATCAACAAGATAACTTACAAAAAGGTCAAGCTGAAGTCCTCGAATACCCAACCTTTCCAGTTTAGTAATGAGTAGTGGTACTGATATTGTATCGAATGCTTTGGCGAGGTCGAGGAAAACAGCCATCACCTTCTGCTTGTTATCAAGTTTAGCAACGACTTCGTTAGTTAGGTCTGATACAGCATTATTTGTAGAAATACCAGGCCGGAAACCATACTGAGAGGTAGACAACAATTTATTTTTTCCAGGTAATTCATCAGTCTACTATTTAAAAGTCTCTCTAGAATTTTAGACAGGGTTGGCAGAATTGAAATAGGTCTGTAGTTGTTTATTTGACCTCTGTCCCCACTCTTGAACATCGGATGAATTATAGCGAGCTTGAAGGCCTCGGGGAAGACACCGGTACTAAAGGAAAGATTACATAGGAACGTTATTGGGGAAACTAAAATATGTATGAATTTTTTTAAAAAGGAGCCAGAAATGCCGTTATAGCCCACAGCACGGTCACTACGAAGATTCGCCACAATTCCCTCCACCTCGACCTCATCAGTAGGTAACAGGACAAATGTGTTTCAATAGAAATAGAACACGAATCAGAGGAATGCACAATGGGATACCTTCAGCCAAACTACGTCTAATGTTAGCGAAATATAAATTAATATTGTCTATTGAATTAACAGGACTAGCAGATACGAGTTCAAGCGCAGGTTTTCTCTCTTTGGAAGTGAAAGAGATGTTCTTAATAACTTTCCAAAGTTTTTTATTGTTATTTTGAGCATTACGTAACTGCTCCCTGTCATATTCAGATTTAGCTTTATATAAGATTGTCGAGCAATAATTTCTATATCTCGCATAGGTGGTCTTGAGGACATTATCTTTTGGTGATTTTTTGACTTTCAGGTGAAGCTGGTCACGATTTCTGAGGCACCTTAGATATCCCAGAGTCATCCATGGCTTCTTAAGTGTTTTACGATTTGAGACAACTTTGATAAGGGTATTTGCCGTCATGGCACGGTTGAAGGAGTTAAGAAAATAGGAAGTAGCTAGGTTTACTTCTGTCATATTATATAATTGTTTAAAATCAAAGTTTAAAAGGTCAAGTTCTAAATTTACATAGTCAAGTAATTTAATGGTTTTTGTTTTTTGAGAATTTGCTATGGAATGTTTAGCTTTAAGGAATAATAAAACAGAATCATGATCGGTGATTGATGTATGCGCTATAAAACAGTAGGCTGGTCATTTTGTTTTTAAAATAACGTGGTCTATACAAGAGTAATTATTACGAGTGGGGAGAGAGTGAGCAGGGAGCATCCCATGGAAGGCAACCATAGTCACATAGTCGGAGGCACGCAGATCACTTGAGCTCGTGGAAATGTCAATATTTATGTCTCCTACAAGTACAATATTACTATATGTTGTGAAACGTTTCAGAAGTTGATCTAAAGAAGAAAGAAAATTAGATATATTATACCTAGAAGGGGGACGATAAATACCTATTAGGACTGTGGTTTTATCTATGATCATTGTCAAACAATTTGCGTCCTCCAAAACAGAGTCAATTATTGATATTGAGAGAAGAGAACGGTAAAACACAACCACTCCCTCATTCTGAGAGGTGTGGAAACTAGTGCTGGTGGAAGAGTAGCCCTGGAGAGTAGGTATAGGAGGTGAGTTTAATAGCCAACATTCCGTAAGTACTATTACGTCCCATAGGGTGTTACTTCGCAGAATTAAAGTGCATAAGCCATCAAAGGTACGATTTATACTTCTTATGTTTTGACATAGAAGTTTCAGAGATTTACCATACTGTAGGGAAAATCGTGCACTATCTTCTATCATACAGTTCCCAGCCTCAGCGACAGAAATATCTTCTAAATCAGAATTAATATCCTGTAGATCACCAAATGTTAAATAAATAGTGTAAAGACTTTAATATCAGAGTGAATTGGTATGGCATAATATAACGGAAGCGAGTAATAGGACGATATATAATGAAAATATATGGCAGACTGATAAGAAGACTGAGATGGTATGTATGGAAACTATTAAATTTTGTGTGAGTGTGTGAGTTGTCTGTGTAGGGTGTGTTTTGTGAGTAATGTAAATAATATGTAAAATCATATATTATATATAAATAGTAGTTAAAACTATTTAATTTTATGTGAGTGTGTGCATTGTATGTGTTAAGTCTGTTATGTGTATAATTTAAATATTTAAAAGCACTCATTTTACATAAACAGTAATTAAAGCTAGTCAGATTTAAAAATAATATTAGAACGTGAAAAACGATGTAACAAGGAATACCTAACAAACAAACTAGTCAATTTATAGGAGACAATATTTTATTCAATTCATGCTCCGTGTTTACGCACAGAGCAGAAGAGGCGGCCGTTTTCTGCATAAAAATTCTTCCATGGTTCGTCCAACATCCAACAATTCTACCATCCTTATGCAGTTTGCGTGCAAGGTACCTACAATAAATGACGAGCATTATTAGTCAAAGACTCCGATACATATAATGGCCTAGTTGGGCCCGAATGCTGAATTGATGCAGTCGATAGCTTTGAATCCTTATTAGACTTATTGTATATCCTAGATGATTTAATTATATTTTCCTTCTGCGTTACTGTCTTAAACTCGACAATTACAGCACCAGGTGAAGGCGAGGCTGTTTGAGATTTAACTCTGTAGATATTTCTTATGTCATCCCGCTCAATAGGTAGATTTACGGCAGAACCAATTTTACATACGCTTGCAATCAAGGAGTCCTTATTTTCTCGTTCTGATAAGGGGATGTTTTTTACCTCGACAGTGGCCGTACGCAATTGACGCTCTAGGGCCTCAACTTTCGATTCTAAATCAACTACGTTCTTCTTAAGAGCCGAATTTGAGCGTTCGGAGGAATCTAGGCGCTCGAGTAACTCGTCGTACTTTAAGGAAAAAAATTATATTGATTCCTCAATTTTAGAATTCTGCGCCTGTAATGCTTGCAAAGAGGAATTTAGCTGTTCAAACTTCTTATTTTGCTTTTGTTCTGAGGAAGCAAAATGCTTAGAAATCTCTAAAAGCAGGTTATCTGGGTCAGATGGTTCATAAGTATCTTCATCACGGGGCCGTCGGGTTCTACGCGATAAATTGACGAAATTGTCATTGAATTCAGCTTCGGTACTTTGGTAGTTAAGTGCTGTATCTTAAAATTACAATTCTTTTTATATAATACGAACTGACGGGACGAACAAGTCGTGCTTCTGGTGGTAATCGACACGCCTATGCATAACACTTGCAGTGCCACTCAGAGTTTTAAAATGCAAAGATCTTAGGGGAGCTACCACTGCCTCAGTCACCCTGAAAGATAAGTTGACAAGTCCCACATGTCTATAGTTTCACCAGCACCCTTACCCTTCCAAACCAGAACGCAGCAATGTTCACATTACAGATTTGGCGACAAAAATAGGTAAGTTGGCTGTACCACTGCTACTGAAATTATAGACCTTGAAAAGTTAAAGTTAATTGATTAACCGTACTATGACACGATCCGAATGGCATACTATGTCCCACGCACAGTGGATGCTAATATACATAACGTGTGAACAAACACGCTCATAATTTTGCGAAAATGGACATAAAGATTTTTTCGTTATTTTTGATAATTTGTTCTAAAATTTACTTCTAAAATAAACACTTTTGCTGTAGTACTTGTTGTTATTAGGGAATTATAGTAATAAATCACACGAATTCATCATTCCTCAGATGACAACAGCAAAAATTTTCATTTTAAAATTTTGGAAAAAAACTATGAAAACAACGAAAAAAATCTTTAAGTGCCATTATCGCGAAACTGTGATCATGTTGCAATCAACACGATCACAGTTTTACGAAAATGGTGCAATAACGTATATTGACACGTTATTGCATATCAGCATCCAGTTATGCAAAAGCATGGCAAAAGCAGGATCAGGATTTTGTGCACTCTGCCCGCCGCGGCACCCAATAGGCCTAGCTCGAGTAGTTAAAAGTAGTTAGTAGTATCTTAATCATTTGTTGAGTTCCTAGAATAAATTATATTAACATTAAAAAAAATATTAGCACCGCATAATAAGCACCTTAAGGCCGTATTTATGCTGTCACTCTCTTCTCTAAGCTTTTAACTTAAAGAAGATTAAGAAGTACATGCAATAAAATATTATAAAAAAAATACATTTTGTTTGGTCACATACAAGGTTATATAACAAGTTAATTTCGCTTGTAATAATTTGTAAATTGAAGATAACGTCAAAAATTGTCACAGATTTTTTTCGAAACACCTAGTAAAAAAAATTAATATTCAACCCATATAACCACACAGATATAAGATCACCTTAGTTCATAAAGATCTGAACTTGATCTAGTTGGAAAATTTAAAGCTAGTTGTAGACTTGCCAGCATGACGCTATTATTAAGTCACATTTTCTATTAGAAATAAATAGTAAGATTTGAAACAAGGAAAAATGTTGTAATTTTTCGTGCATATTATGCATAATTAAAATTTGGTAAAAGTAAATTGAGAGAGTTTATGTGACAATGTACAGTTGTAAAGCGTGTGTACTGAGAGTGGCATGCGATGTGCACTCGGGCGAGCTGGCACGAGTCCCGCTGCCCACCACGGAGCTTATAAAAGAGGGCTGCCTTCTGCTCCCGCGCCCGGCGCGCCGCATTCCCGACTCTGTACCCATGGGGCGCGCTAACCACACACGATAGTACCCAAAAATAATACATCAATTAATGTATAGGAACTACCTGTAGTTGGGACCAAGTGATAAGTGATACGGTAAGTCTGAATGTGATAGTGTTGCCAGCGGATTGTGCATTGTGCAGTGACTGTTCAGTGTTGCCAATTTTAAGGAGAAATCGTGTTGCGGAATTTATGGACGTTGCAGTGAATATAAGCTAAATGGAATTGCATTACCACAAAACAAATGCCTTACGGAGTGAAGACGAAGTCAGTGTTATCAGAAGTAAATAAGTGATAGTGAGCATCATGATCTTCCTGGTGTTAAAAGTAATTTGCGGCAATAAGTTTACAATAAATATATAAATATAAATATATACGTATTAAATATAGTAAACGTGAGAAACTGTTGCACAACAATAACCGCGCTGCAAAACTTATGATTTTCAATATTGTCCTTGATAACGAATAATGCGTCCACCATTGCTTTAAAAAAAGAATATTAAATAGTTTGAGAATGCACATTTATTTCTGGTGACACTGGCTCGGGTTTTATCTATTTGGTACTGTGACGTCACATACCACTAAGACAGATTTTTGGATTTTATGTCCATTGTATAGTGATCTCATTCTAATTATACTAACATTAAACGCGATAAAATCGATTTAATAGGAATTACCACACCAAATTATTCTCAAAATTTTATGTAAGCTCTTGGAAACCTATAGGCGAAAAAACCAATCGACTACTCGCCGAAAAATGTTAAAGAATTGCCACGCGAGCAATTAAAATACCTGTGAAACGTACTGTCTAATTTTTACTAAAATCTACACTTGTAATTTGACGTTTGATCATGACGTAAATAATGTGTGACATTAAACTACTTCGTGACGTATACGTTTCGTGTACAAATCGACAACATTAGAATTCATATAAATAAACGCCAGATAGAAAAAAGTAGTTAAATAGAACAAATATTTATACAGCCGCGAAATATTTTGCTGCTTTACATCAGGTCCGTTCAAGTAATTTAAATCTTCTTTGTCATCTGTTAGTCATCGTGACGAAAGAAAATGCACTATAACTACGTATGCTATATAATTATAGACATAAATGCATTTATTAAATGAAATGAAAATTCTCTAAAATCGTTAAATAATTTAATTAATCAAAGTACCGGTTTTATAAAAATGTTGAAGGAGTCTGTTTCGAACAATAGACTCCGACAAGCTGAGGCCCAATAAAATAGTATTATTCAATACCTAAACTTTCCATTTTATACTAGATCAAAGCTTATTGAAATCAAAGTCAATAGGGGACTTCATAACAGTTTGCTATTTTTCGTTGAACAGTAATAATCTATCGAACTTGGCATAAAAAAATAAATGTAGAATTAATCTCTTCAGTGGCTAACCAGAAATATGCGAACAAAGCAACTAATATTAGCTTCGTAAAATCAGAGATAGTAAACCGTACGTACGTCAATACGCAGTTATAAACGCGATAGAAATAAATTCGCGTTTGATTCATATATCTCTGCTCCAATGTTATGTACGGTTGCCAACTCTGTTACACAATATGTCAAATCGCGTAGGTAAACGCAAAATCTCTAAAGCTTTTTCTTAGAAAGAACGCCGGAAACATTTTAGTAAATGTTTAGACTATAGAAAATTGATCATCGGCTTGACAGATAATGCAGTGCACTTTGGAACTGAAGTGCTGAAAATACTAAATTCCTGGAGTTGATAGTAAAGTTACTTGAAATAATTTTAGTCATATATTTATGTGCTAAGGTATTTCAGGTTTCAAACTCTCAACGGACCATATTACAACTAATGACCCGATGAAAAGTAAAAGTCGTTTGTTGTTCGTTGAGGATCGTTGACATTTTAGCACCAGTTTAAGATGCACTTGACTCACTGCAACCAATAAGATCTTGCAAGTCCCCAAGGCAATTTGATTCATGTAAAGAACGAATACGCGAGTGCATATGCGATTTGTGGTTGTTGGCCATGTAGTTGTTGGCCCTAAACCAACCTTCCTAATATAAACTAGCCTGTACTGGCCCGCCAACAGCCCTAGATGATTCTGCCAAAACACTACGATTACGACACTACGATAATTCTATTTCGATTATTACCTTGTGTTTATTTGTAGATGACGGATCGCACCGCGAACGTAGGTACTCCAATAGAAATACATCGTTACTTTATCTAGGAATTTTAAAAGCATGTTTCCTATATAATGTACTCGGTAACAGTTTGATTTCTTCCTACACATTTAACACAGAGAATAACCCTTGAGATCAATACACGTTCCTGCAACTTGACATGGACCAAATTCGTCGATAAAGTAACTCGTTAAACTCTTTTGCACGAATAATGAAATATTGAGATATTATATTAACTAAACTACGAGAGTATGTATTGACATTACAATTTATAAAAATAATTCCTAAAATTATTAAAATGTAACACACTTCGCGATGTAGGTTATTTCAGTGTCCAAGTATTTTGCAAACCAAAATTCAAAAGAAATGTCAATCAATCAAGCGCAAAACAGTGTAACAAAATAAAATTGTAAAATAAAGGGCAGATGATGTCGGTGGCGGTAAATTACTAGGTGACCCTGTACCCTGAGACATTGTTGAACCTTGGAAAGTTCACGCCGCCGCCTGGGCGTACTCGGAGCGTCCTGCCAACTATAACAAGCCATTCATTGCGTGTCAAATCAATGATCGCACGGCAATGAACATAAGAAATTAGGTCGCACGGCGCAATGTACACAAAACAATTTAATTCATTTTACGATTACCGCTGCATTAATGGATGATGAAAACTGATTATTATCGAGCCTGATGCCTTTAATAATAATAATAATCTTTATTTTTCACTTTACAAAGGGTACAAAGTTTTTTAATGTAATTTACATTAAAATTCTTAAATATTAGAGACTTTAATAACAAGAAATTCATCAGAAATACCAAATGGCCATCTAAATTAATAACAGTTTACACTATTTATAACAGACTGTGACATTAATTATTATATACGTAAACGACGTATAGCCAAATTAATTTAGCGAAAGCGATAGTGTAATAATTCGACATTTGCCTATTTGACTTATATCCAAAATCAGTTACGATTATATTGGTAATTGCATAAAGTAAGTATTTTTAATATATAGAACACCTAAAATTAAAATTGATATGAAATTGATATGAAATTGATATTGAATGATTTTTTTGGTAGAGACCATTCTCTACCAAAAAAAATCCTTCGATCCGGATGAAGAACAAATGGCGTACTTAATACCATCATTAAGTCCGCCATTTGTACTTCAGTGTATTGTACAATAAAGTTCAAAGAAATAAACAAATAAACATAATTAAAATTCAAAAGTTTCCGATACCTACTTAGTAGGTATTTAGACACTTTGTTGTTCAAAAATTTAAATCTACTTGTTGCTGCAGTCCAGGATTATGAAAAACACAAACTTTCAAGCTTGTGAAAACAATTTTTCATGGAAGCAAAGTATATGTAAAAAATCGATGAATAATGAAAAGATGAAAATCTAAGAATATGAGCTGTTGTGCTATTAACGAGTTATAAACCTGCAGAAATATTCGACGCTAAGTGATTTTTTAAACGATCGTTGACTCGGATACACAATCATTTTAACTGTCAATCTAGGGATATTTCTCTATTTCTGACAGGCGCCACCGTGTTTCCTTGAAAACATACTCGTGGGGTACGAGAATTTCATGCTTGTCTTTTAGAAACCTTGTGAAAGAGTTCGTCCAGGGAAGTACTACTATCTTACCTGCCGCCGAACGATAATGTGAGCATTACAGCGTTCCGATTTAGAAGGGTAAGAAGGGTGCTTGTCAAAAAAAAACCTGTCAACTTATGCTTCAGGGTGACGGGCGCAGTTGCAGTGTCCCTCAGATCTTTGTGATTTAAGCTCTGAGTGGCACTGCAACTAGCCTGTCGCTTACCACCAGACACAGACTTGTTCGCCCCGCCACTTGATTTCATAAAAAAATCTTTTCAAGCTTTTAAAACAAAACTTTTTTTTTCTCCTCTTCATAATCTGTCTGATCAAACAAACGTTGAATAAAGATCTCTCCATCGATTTATACGTTCCCCATGGGTAATTTAAATGTGCTATGATGTACCACGGTTTGCTTGAGTTTCAATATTTATAGGTAGTAGTTCAATATTAATTTAGACTTAATTTAACTACAGAAAAGCCTTACTAAAAGAAGCAGTAGAAATTAAATAAATTATTATTGTACTGAAGATTTAATATAATATATAGAAATATTACGCAGTATGTTACAGAGATGACAATTACAAAAAAAAACAAAGGAAAACAGGAAGTAAAATAATTGTATGAAAATTAACAAACCCAGAAACAAAAACAAAATTTAACAACATGACTCTACGGAGCAGGCTAACCTGAGAATTTCTCTATGTTACAAAACCTGATCGTTCATGCTGCATGATCCAAATGAAATATTAAGGACACAGAACTCGCAGAACTGAACTGACGCTACAAACAGGTTCTAGACCGGCGACAGTATTAATCGCTGGTGAGTAATAGACTTTCTTCTATCCAATACAAACTTGAAAGAAACAGTGTAAGACGGCTCCCTACATTAAACGACCCGATATCCTGGACAAGATATCTGGATGACATTTAAATGCAGGTTGCATTATTATGACATTTATTAAGTGCGTTCCTCAGTACAATGATGCTTTACACAGTAAGATCGTGCTTTGTGGCCTGCCTTGTGGAACACCTACGTCCATCAGCGAGCTGCAATGGACCGTTAATGATTCAATAGGTTTAGTAGAAGATATTATACGGCTAATAATGACGAAGCCCGCAATTTTATTTCTAAATGTCAAATCAATTTCATTTAACCGCAAAAGATAGCTACGTTATTCAAAATAATCGAAAAATGTCAAAAATAATTTACAGTTTACGTGTACAATTTCCAACTGTAACCGTATTTATGCATTTTCTAGTTGTCACTGCCCGCTATCGGGCAATGAACACTGTGAAGTGTGTTCCCTATAATTTTTATTCCAGTCACCGAAATAACGTTAACATTGGCATTCATCTGTCCCGTGTGATTTTCTATTTAAACTGTCTAAATATATTCCAAGTGCTCTAGCAAGGCTGACATTTTTGCCGCGACTATGTCGTTGAAACATCGCAATCGTAAATTATATTTTTAAAGGTCAATATCAGCGTAAACGTACACAATTTTACACTAATGTAAAGTTGTCTTAATTATTTCAGTACAATTAGATACACAAAAATGACCCGTCTACCATTAACATTTTACGACAGATTTGAAAGCGTAATCTCGTCGTTTAATTAAATTGATTAAAAAGGTACACCCAATCACGCATCGGTTTATGCAAGCAGTCACTTTTTAGCACTAGTGCTAGTAGTAGGTACATATTTCAAAAATACAAGAGTACATTAGGGTTTACACTTACGATTTAAATTCCGCCCTACAGCATTGATGACAAGATTTAGAGTATAAAACTCAGTCTGCTCTTGACCATATGTACTTGATTGTATGTGTAATTAATTATGAATACATAACTTTTTAGGGTTGATAACCCCAGCTCCCGAAGTAAAATATTTTTTCCTTAACTAATGACACCACACAATGTACTTTATTATGAAAAACCAAGTTTTTGTTTAGAGATCTCACTAGAATATTTTTTCTGTATAATTTACGCCGAAAGTTAGGCACCAACTTTGTAATTTTATAATTTAAATTAAAGCAGAATTGCTGTCAGCTCAAAGTGCACCCGTCATATCAATATAATATATATATATATAATAAAATTCTGAATATCATAATAGCGTCATTATTACTAAAATAATTTTCCATGTAGGGTACTTTTTTATCAACATCAAAACGAACAATTATATTTCAGCAAATGTTGAATAAAACATGGACAAAATCGGTATGATTTTTCTTCGATATCAAACTACAATACTGATACTATGAATGGCATTATTGATAGCGTTATTTGATCAATAATACTAGTGATTATGCTTTTAGTGTTAATGACTACCTACTGTTTGCGCAAAAACATGATTTCTATATTGCACAAAGCACCTTCGTATATAGTAAGTTACGATACTACAAATTTTGTTTATTGCCATACAAAGAAACCAAATGAATGCAGAATTATTAAATATCATATTATGTTAGTAATATATAATCGCTCTCATGAGTGGCTAGGGCAGAACGCAGAGCTCGACCCGGGCCGCGTGCGCTATAAAAAGATCGTCATAGGACGGTCGGCGACGGCCGCCTCACGACATGCAACCCTGGAAAGCGACTCGGCTGTGCCATCGAGTACTGCTGCCAAAATAATTAAAGAAATCACCGCCGCCGGTGTCCCTCCGCCGCGCCAACGCCGCTCTAAAACCGTCGCTCTTTGCCCGGGAGTTACTACTCGGGGCGCGGCGGGAAAACATCTCCCGCGCCACTCTTATTTCTTCTTTCCTTCTCATCGCTGCCGAAAAAATATTGTCATCAGTAAGTTGCAAAACATCTCCATAAAATATAAGTACCGTGAGTGAATCAAACCATGAGTGAAGTTTAGTGCCATAAAGAGCTATTCATGGATTAGTGAAATTAAGTGACTAGTGTTATGTAACTCGAAAAAACTATAAAGACGTTTCAGATTTTAAAAATACCGCAATTTGTAAGCGCCTTGTGCTCCGAAATAGCACCGTGTCACGTGGTACAAAACCGACCTATAGTATTGCTCCACATTTCTGCATGATCGTAAATTATATTCCGCTGTTGTGTATATAAACTGCACATTTAATGCCACTTTTTATCCTTTTACATTCTACCCGTAAACAATTTGTAATTTTTGTCTAAGCTGAATAATTAAGTACGATATTAAAAGATGCCCTATTGATAAAAATAGTTCACGTACTACGTAATAGGTGGCGTTGCGGCCAACTTCCTATACGTCAGTTGAGAAAAAATGACGGCTGCATTGGATACGTGTTCTTGTGGTTTATGATATTTACGAGAAAAAGTATTATATTATTAGTGGATTAGTACAAAAATTAGTTAGCAGACTAATAAATAAGATAGACATTGTAAATTAAGTGAATCATTAAATAATACTGTTTAATCTCATGTTATAATATAATTTTTTGGTGAGTGGTGCAGTGATCAAACAGTTTACGGTGCTTCCAGCCTAGGAAATCGCTTGTTATCCGTATAACTTGCCCCAATTTAGTAAGCGGATATAATAAGGCAAGAGCTAATTAATGCCTCGCGGGGAAATGCCAGTTCTAGGTGTTTTAGAAACCCTGATTATTTTGGGTGGCCAAATCAGTCTATGAATGACAAAATCAATGAAGTTTGTATTAAAAATTCGCTATAAATTGTAAAGATTTGTTTCTAACTTCGTTATAATTCTGGATGGAACACTGTACTTGAGTGTGACATGTTGATCTGGTCGTTCTCTACCAGAAGTAACATAACCTCAACATATTTTGAGTCGCGATGATGACTCGTCATTTCTAACCTATATTCTCTTGTCTTCTAGAACTGACGGCAACGTAAAAATTTCACCATGGATGACGCTCACTCGAAATCCGTGGAAGAAGTCTTAGGATATTTTGGCACAGACCCAGACAAAGGTCTCAGTCCAGACCAAGTGAAAAGGAACCAAGAGAAATATGGGCCAAATGGTAAGTAAATTTTATTAAAATAATCAAAAACTTATGTCACTGTAATACAGGATTATATTTTATAAAATACTAACAACCTCATAGGACTATATTACTAACATCAAACAACAACTTTTGTTCCATGACTTTTTACAAAACTTAATAAATTGTCAAAAATGAACTTTTTAAGTTTTTATTGTGCTATATGACACTTTTTAGGTCTGTGTTTGGTTATAAGTTTCTTAGCAACGCCTTTGCGTTTTTGTTTGCTATCGCATAGAGTTATCACTGTTTAGAGTGATCTATTTAGATATTGTTCGTACAAAAGTAAAATCTGATGAATCATTAAATGTCATAGAATAAAAGTTGTTGTTTACGGTGTCAGTAATATGGTCCCGCGAGGTTGTTAATATTTTACAAATAATCCTGTACATACCAAGTCAGAGCAGGAAAGAGCATGCAATCATAAGAAATTACAAATTAATTGACTGCTGTCCTTCAAAATTACCCGCATATTATTATCAACTTCATTAACATGGTAATTGGAAATACATTGAACACTATTCAATAATATTTCCACATTTAATGCTGAATTATAGCTATTTTGCAGCATTGAATTCCTATATCTGAAAATAAAAACATCTATTTTTCTATTGTTATATGAAACTCTACATTTAGAGGTACACATTTAAATGTGCATCTTGTTTAATACATCAATCATTAAAGGACTGTCAAAGATCATTTTAACACTGCACTAGCACAAAATGGACACATTTGGAGTTTAAACCCTTGTCAGTGGCTTTTTAACACTATACAAATAACAACAACTCTTTGATGTAGTGCTACTGTAAGGTTAAGGTAAAGATTTATTTGTCTTTGTTTTATTGTGTATAATGTAATTTACAATAGTTAATTCTAAAATTACAGTTAAATAAGTAAATAAGTTACATGACATGAACCATTTTTCATTTAAAGATTAAACAGATTGTAAATTTCGGATGTTGTGTAAACAGCTATATTTGCAAATAATTAAAGTTTGTCATTGTGCAAGAACACTTGTTATCAGTCAAATCACCTCTAGCCGATTTTTCTTCCGTGCATTATTTATTTGACTTTAGTTAAGATTTGCTAAAATTTATGGAAATGGGAGTCTTACTGAATTCTATTTAGTAATAAATTGAACATAATTCATTTTTCAATACTAATTTAAGTAATTAAAATATATATATAAATATACAAATCAATTAAAATTTACTAAATGTTGACAAAATTCTTACAGCATACGGATATAATGGTCAGTCAAACCTAACTTGAAATTTATTTAAAAAATTATGTCAATATATCATAGCATATAATGTTTTTACCGAACTAATTTTTTTGAGAGAACTCGAGTTATAGGAATAGGAATCAGCTATACGAGATACGGACAAGGAGGGCGGAATTGTGAATCATCTCTAAAAAAGTAGCCCTGTAGTTATGTTACTACACTATGTAAATTGAATATAGACAAGTATGTCTCAATACAGGATGTAACAAAAAGGTTATGCCATATTTCAGCAGGTATTGATTCTAACAAAATCAAACTGTTAGCTTCTTCTTCTTAAAAAAATTGTATACATGCATGTTACCGATTGGTCGCATTTTGAATGGAGAATCAAACTTTTTTTATATAAATAGATTTTTTTGCTAATGGAGACTGATTCCATGAGTATGATAAACAGCTACACCCTCTTTATCAATTACTACAACTGCAAAACATCATATAACAGCAACGTTCCTCATTTCAATGAGACTAAAGATACTAACAATGTAATTTAATGGCCCCAAAACAGTGTCCACTTAGACAGTAGTTGAAAACACGAAAATGAAAATTGCAACCATTGTACTCCTCACAGAAGCGTTGCTTGCTCACTAATTGCTCTGTGACTGAGTTTTTGTTAGGCCACATACGCGTCGGTTCTTTCCATCACTATTAGACAACGCGATATAACCAGCTCAATAATTGTTTTGCTTTACGTTTCCTTGATTGACCTATCTTTACTGTGACACTGTTGTCTTCACGAGACTTACGACCACAGAGATTTTTTTACATTGAAATACAACGTCCCCTTTGCCACTAGGCAAGACAAAGTAATGTGCACAAAGACTCCTAGCAATAACCTTCATTTCTGCTATTGACACATAACTCGAGACATTCTTATCACTTAAAATCGCTAATGTTTTGCTGCGGATTAAAAAAGCGTCTTATCAGTCAACCTAAAGTTAAATTAAGTTAAATATAATCAACCTAATTAATAGAATAAAAATCCTTTGTATGTACATTAAACTACGCTGAGTGACAGGCAACCTTTGACTCATTTGAGGAGACATTAATTTAGGGCGTGTCAGTAGTTCATTTCACTCAATAACTTTTTTATTTATGACCGACGCATTTCAAATTGAACGTTTCATTTATTATCTCTTTACCATATCAAGACCAATCATGCTAATGGTATTATCACATGTTTGCGTATTATCGTGCGAATACAGGTGAAACGTTTAGCTTTGTCTAAAAGCGATGGTTATCGATGATATGTGTCATGATTTCTAGATTAATTAGCTTAGATTGTACCAGCGTATGTGGCAGAAGTATGTCGATGGCATTTATTTATAGGAGCTTCAATAGCCAGCGCAGGAGGCCGACATTGCCACTGGTGCGTGTGCACAGGCACGATCGCGCCCTGGAGCGTGACAATAGGTGTCACACGACCGTCACTTCTCTAACCTCCAGTAATAATTATAGAACTCCACCTGTACAAGGGTTTATTTCCACCTATTGCTTTCACTGCGTAATATTACAGTAATTCTTTTCTAAATGTATGTAGAAAAATATCTCAAGCTTTAACAAGTATATCATGTTTTAGAATGTAAGCTTTATATTTAAAATCTTTTATCACAGGGATTCACTCTTGACAAATTAAAGATCCGCCAGTTGACATAATGTTGTATAAATTACCTAAAATATTAATAAAAAAAAGAAAACAGCGTACTGAATGTCACCAAGATATCATCAAAATATTAGTGTTTTTTGTTTACAAAATCGCAGCTTTGTAAAACTCAGATTTGTAAAATCTTTGAGGTGTACCTTTTCATAGCACTAAAACTATAAA